TTTATTATTTATTGTTGTAGCTGTTTATTACTTTACATGCAGTTTTAAAACATGATATTTGTGATGTTAACGTTGTAAAAGCCAAATAAACAGCAAATGAGATTTTACATTTCCAACACTTACTATCTGTGAAGCTTGTTTACACCTGGGGTTTAGCAATAAATAGCCTTAGTCATTCTTTGTCACTGTGAAAGTTGGCCCGACACTATTCTGGTAAGTTCCTTTTCTTCTCCGCTCTTTCCTTTTTTTCCCCTCTGTCAGGTCTGACCGATTATTCACTCCTCTCCACAGCCCTGCATCATTATTTCCATGCTGACCCCCTTTTATCCTGCTCAAACATACACTGGGAATAGTTTCCTACCGTGAAGTGTTGTGTTTTACTGGAAACTTGCTCTTTTGTAACATCTGGTTCAAGTGGCTGTCTGGTAATGTAAGTGTGGTGCTCAGTGAATTCCTTAGTAATCTGATGAGCTGTTATGCGTCGTCATCTTATTGTGACAGCAGAAATGACAAAGCACTTAAGTGATAGACAATTTGGGGATATGAATAAAATATGTGCAAATTAAACATTAAATTACGCCATCGTAGATTAGGAATAAACTGAATTTCCGGATTTATTTTTTATGAAATAAACCCTCTTCCTGTCTTTAAGCACTAATTACCAGACACCCATGTAAACAGTTGTTTACATCTTCAAAACCAAAGAATTATATTTTTATTTTGGGAAAAATTAGATGAGCCCTTTCTTTGTGCCAGTCGAATACACTAATTTCCACACAGTGAGAACACACACGCAGGCACATGTGAAAGCAAACAGTGCAGTCAATCAAGGTGAGGTAAAGGATATTTTTATGCTAATTTGCATTTCCCCAAGCTGAATAAAAGAGGACAGAGGGAGGGAGCAACTGAAGGAGAAATAAACCTATTCAAACAAATGAATTCTAATGAAGCTTCCCAGACAAGACGTTTGGAGTCAGCATTGTGAGAGAGAAGGCCTGGACTTCCCCACTGGAAAGGACTCAGCCCAAACTCCTGAAAGGGAGGGAGAGAAAAACAAGAGAACGACCCTGGAGAAAGTGAGCCGGGAGGAAGAATGGTCCAGTAATGAGAGAGGGAAACCAGAGGGAGGTGGGGCCTGAGTTCAAGGTTGTATTCAGACTTAAGGATTGTCCCCCTGAAAGACCCAACACAGACTTCCTCAGGGTTTAAGAGCTTCTTTATCAGACCCAGGTCTGTGTGGGTCTCTGGTGGTCTCTGGTTGGGTGGGAGATGGAGGGGGGCACTCACAGCAACATGTTGAATTCAAATTCAAATCGGCTTATTCTCAGGCCTGGCTGTACAAAAATATCAGACTAGGGAGGTGTTATTTTATGGATGAAAGCCTCAGTTAAAATGAACTAGAATGTAAATGTAGTGCGGAAACATTTTCAACATGAGAGAGAGCGGCTGTTCTAAACCTGCGTTAGTGTAAATGCTCCGGAGCTACTTCAGAATTATTCCCTGTCATTAGTGAGTCCTCCTCAAACAGTTCTACAGTACACTGTCACTTGTTGAGTGTTTGTGTGCTGGATGTTGTGTGCACAGCTTTTTTAGAACCAGTCTATGGTGCACAGCGAAATGTTAGAAAACTTTGTGTTCATCTCACCTGGTTTATCTGCATTGAAGATTCGATGAAACTGAATTAGTTTTATTACTTTTCACTTGTATCGTATTTTAGAATTAGAATTTAGATTAGTAGTAATATCTGTGTAATATGTTTGATTTGTGTATTCCAGGACAGTAATACAGTGTCCAAAGTTTGGTGGCTGCTTAAAAAAAGGTGCTGTGATCACGCAATTTTCTGTTTATCATTTTGCACGAGGTGGTTACTGTTCAGTCTTTATTTCAGAGCCAAGGTCTTCAGGAGCTCCCAGTCCGCAGAAATATTTATTTCTTGAGGTCACTGGAAGCCAACTCCTTCCATCTGCTTATCCGCTCAGAAACAGGCTCGTCAAAAAAAATCCTACATTCTGGAGGAATGTTGAGGACGTATGTCTGTAATAAGAGAATCCAAAGTTTATCATGGGGAAGGTGTTGATTTGAAAATCTACAGCTTTAGAGGTCAAGCAGTTGGACACGATACTGTCTTCTAAAGGACATAGTATCAGTCAAATGAAACCAGGCTGCAGGTGGGGATCCCCCGAGCCCCCCTGAGAGCTCCATGGGTTTACCTTCACTTTGATCTCCCAGCAAGCTCCTGCCCTAGTTCTCAAGTTTCCTGGGAAATTACAAGATTACCAAACATGTCCAAGCATCAACTTCTGATTCCTGGAGTGGCTCTTGGCCCTTTCAGTCAAGTCACTGCTCCCAACTGAGCTTGACTCTGGAGCCAAATAGTTACAAGGGGGAAAACCTGGGGTCCAGTTGTTCTCTATTGAATAGTAGTTAATAATGGAATTTGGGCAAGTTGTACAGTGTGTTTGCCAGTGACTGTGGAGGCGGGGCGGCTAATGTCCAAGACTCTTCCACCGAAAATAAACCTGCATGAGGGAAGAGAGGGAAGGAGAGAGAGAGGGAGAGGAGGGAGGGAGAGGAGGAGGAAGGGAACCAGCCTTTCAACGGGGACAGAAGGGAAAGAGAGTCTCCGTTTCAATGGAATAAAAACTGCGCAATTTCTTGAAGGACTGCCTGCTCGGAATCGCGGCGGACCGTGCCTCTCTGGGAAACGGATATCAGCGGGGTTTTTTGGGGGGATCCAGGGTAACCGTGCCCACTGCGACCCTCGCTGCCTCCCCAGCCCACAGACCAGGAGCGGGCGATTTTTGGCCAGATGGTCTTCAGAAGGAGGAAAAGAGCTGTGCAACGGTTTGGAAAGGCGATGTGACTGTGCAGAGATGCGAGATCAGTGATGAGTCTATCAATCATGTCTTGCTCATGGGCGAACATTTCCTCAGCCTGGACTCGGATCTATCTGCGTAAACACACACAGCTCCTGCTCCCTGTGTCGACGATTGCACCTATGGATGTTAAATGGGCTTTCATATTTTTTTTTTTAGGGGGGAGAGGTATTTTAGGGGGCTGCGTCATCCATGGCGATGGAGTGCTTTGCAGATTTTCCACTATTTCTCTGTCTGAACAGGGAGCGCGGCACCTCCCCAGCTGATTTTTGGGGGATTGTACATAAAAGGTAAGCATGATGCATTACTCTTATCACATGTGAGGCTGTGTTACCTAAGAACTGTAGCAGGGAGGGGTGGGGGTGGGGGGGGGGCAGTGAGACTCCATTGGATACAACCTGAACTACAATATCCTGTCATAAATCCTCCAGGACACGCGATCAACATGCGAGCACGAGCACAAACCAGGATTTGTTGCATCAGACACGAGGCTGTGCTGTGGTCGGATCGCGTTGCACGAACAAACACACACATGGCCACACATGTGTAACTTCACACACGTAGGGTGGATAAGTTTGGACACTGCAGCGGGATCATGTGGCAGATGTTTCATAACCCAAATTCGTAACACAACAGCCGCCGGTGATGTCATGTTTTTTTACGGTCAGGCTGGAGGAGTTTACGGGAAGGTGGCTCCGGAGGTTGGCGATGTCGCAATCGCCCGCTGTTGATCTCGGAACACACGTTTAGTGCGATGCACGGGGGAGAGACGGGGGATCTGCGTCCGTGGGTGTGATGCGATGTGCGTGGTCGTGATGTTTCACGGATCAGGAGCGTGAGCGGCTGAATGAAGCCAGGGAACGAGCCCAGGAAGGAGTGTCGCATTTTCGCTCAGAAATGTCATGTGGTGAAGTTGTGGCGGGTTCTTCACTATTTCCAGGAAGAGCGTTTGAATTCTCTTCCCCTGAATTCATTCTCTGTCTCCACCCCTCTGCTTGCTGTTGCACTTTGGACATGTGACCACTGGATGGCGACACTGGATAGTAAACTGGTTATACCCGTCCAGTCCTCAGGAGTACTGTTTATTACTTTCGATGATTTGATCTCTGCAGTGCAGACTTTAAAGTTTGTACTTTCAACACTTTGATCCATTTACAGTGTGATGAGGGTAATGGCAGATTCACAGTAAACCAACACGTGCCAGTAATGACAGAAAGACTAAGGCATCACACTGTGCACCTGTAAGTTATTTATAAAGACTGTTTATTATACTATTATATTTTACTACAGCAAGAGGCTGCTGGCCTGCAGCCGGCTTTGAATCAAAGTCACCCTGTCTAAGCTACACAAAAGTAAATTCTGGAATAAAATGAGCCAAATTTGACATCAAATAGACTTTGAATTTTCTCATAGTTATGGGGCTCTGATTTTAAAACTGCATATGATTAAAAATAACAGCATTTCCCCACATTTCACCATAATCAGCTCCAAAACGTCACATGTACATCAATAATTGTGAACTTAGTTTTTATTTACTTTTGTGGGAATCATATTGTAAAGATAATATCAGTGTTAAATATAAAAAAAAGAATAAAGAAAACAGATCTTAATATGAAATCTTAATATATATGTTAAGTTAAATTTGAACCTAAATGTTAATGCTTGATATTAAATCTTAATATATATCCTAGATGTTAAATTCAAATGTTACATTTTAACTTTAAATGTTAGGACTAAATATGAATGTAACTATTAAATTTAAACACAATTGTACACCTTAATGTTTAATATATAAATCCTACATGTTGTAAATGTAATTCTGAATGTTATATCTATCCATGTTGTTGGGGTTTGTGTCTGTGTCACTACCAACATCCTCTTCACTTTTGTAGACTACACGTCCCACAATGCAGCGCAGGTCGAGCCGATGCTAACAGCTGTAAACAGTCTAGCTAAATCTGTCGCAACATGGCCGCGCGCTCGAACCCAAACAAAACAACATATTTGTCTGTTGAATTCCGCCCGTAGAGTTATTGTCACTCATTTGACAAAGTTTATATATTCACAGTGTATTCACGGTGTCGCAGGTTGAAGTACTTCTGCGTACTTTATCGAATTAAAGTAATATTTACTTGTTGGACTAAACCCACCTGAGAGGGTAATGGGACAGGAAACACGTTGGACTGTAAAACACAGCAAACCTCCGCTAAGGTAAATACGAAGTAGCAGTCTGAATATTCTATATTCAACTCGCGCTCGTTCTGTGTAAATGAGTAGTTTTTGTACATTAAGTGTGATGGTGGCGTGTGTACTGCTGTGTACTTGTATTTACAGTAGCTAAATCTACACGTGTTCAAACTAAACACGTCCTCTGGTGAATTAAATGTGTACTTTTCTGTCACTACGAGCAAGTACTACGATTTAAGAACATCACATAACCGAGTTGTTGACTTGATAGCATTCTCCAAATGTGTCCATCTTAGTTACAGTAGATTATGAACCTTGTACATGTGATGGTGGCTCAGGAACAATCCCGTAAGGTGCTGTACAAAACAAACACTAAAATAAAACAGAGTCAAACACAAACAATAGAAGAAGAAAACTAGTAAAAACAATGGAACCATAAGAACTAGATTAAGCTCAAATATTTATGAATTGGGTGAGTTTTTAACAACCTCTTGAAACTGTTGATGGATTTAGTTTTTAATCTGGATTTCGGTATGGACAGTAAACCGTGAAGATCAGGGGACATGTTGATTCACTGTGTACATTCTTTATATTATCAAATCCATTCTCAGTTACTTTCCCTTTTCCCTGCATTCATCTCAGTTATTTAATGGTTTCCTCCTGATAGACATTTTATGTAGCAGGCAAATGGATTTTACTTTCATGGTTGAATTACATGCTCATACTGAAGCATTGTATCCACTATCCAGTACCTCCTATTTGCACGTGTATAATAATATACAGTACTACAGTTTGCTGAAGTGCAAGAATGTGTATTTTCCTCTAGATGGCGACACATTTACAGTCCAACCCTGGTGTGGGCTTTAGTTAACAGCTGCTTCCTTCTTACAGTGTGGTGGTGGAAACTCACTGTGGTCTCTCATGGCTTGTTGTTTAATTGTCTGCTTTTGACCACTTAATGAAATCACCAAATTTATTGCAATTGTGATCCTCGTGTGATGAATAGATTCAGCATTTTTGGGGCAACAAAACAATAGTGATTGTAAAAACGTCTAATACATATGCATATAATGCGTAGTGCAAGAACAGTGAGTAGGTGAAACACGTTATTGTGAAATGTTTTTGTTGTTTATTTTTATTGTCTGCTCGTATAAAGAAGAGTTTAAAACCAAAACCTTAACTCAGGATGAAATAATAAATCCTAAATCTTTGGTCATGTCTCCCTGCCCTAATGTAGTACTTGATTATTGCTTCTGATCAAAAGAGTTAATCCATGTTCTTCCTATTCACAGAGATGGATTAAGGAACATGGCCAAGCACTGTCATGCCGTGTCTGAAGAGCCACCGTGACTGAAGCCAGAGGTGACATGTCTGACTGGGTGACCTGCTGTCGGCGAGAATGAGCAAATGCTGAAGATGAAAATCGCTGCCAGTGAAGATGGACTGCACAGTCTGGGAATGTCTGATGGTAAGATGGACAAAAGTAATATTTTAATGCATAATTGTTTATTAATATAGTTATGAAATGGTTTGTTAAATAGGGTGGAAACAGGATAGTACTGTACAACAAACATTCCACCACAGGGTTGTATTAACTGTATGTTAAAAGCCACTACTGTAATATTTCTCTGCCATTCTGTGGGCTTTGAAATACACTTTGAATGTTTAACTGATATCACTTAACTCATTAATACTGCTGCTTTTTAAAATACAACTGCATTGTGTTCTATAAGAGATATCGATATGTCAATATCACAACTCATTCTCATACTCAAATCTTACTGTGCTATTATGCATCACATTATTGGTTGATTACTTGGTTTCCCCACTGTTGATTGCACCAGATAACTAATAACTGTGTTTTCCCTACAGAGGGTCCATCTGCATTTAGCTGCAGCATCCACCTGCCCAGGTAAGACTTTGACCTTTTACCCAGACTTTGACCTGCTCGTGCAAGTCTTCATCTGTAATGATGTGTGTCTTGTCTGCTCAGTCTGTCCAGTAGATGTTTGTTTGTCTGAGCTTTGTTCACATGCATTCAAATACCCAACCAGCAGGTATAATTTGTCCCTGTTTACTGTACGACAGTGTAACTGCCAACTGTTTAAAGCATTTCAGACTGCAGAATGTGAAACCCTGCTGATCTGGGATCAAACTCCTTATTGTTTCAGCTAAGAAACTATTCATAGAGTCTCATTTTATCCTAAAAGTATAAAAATCCACTTACTGCAACCATTAGAAAGGAAATTCTTGCGCTACATTAGATGATTGGGTTTTTGAACCATTCTATATTCTGTAATATGGTCTGGTAGTGTTGAAGCCTACGATGTGTTTGGGCTATGGAGGCTACCTCTGTGACACAGTATGTAACTTGCGTGGTTTGTCACTGAGTCACTGTGACTGATGATTTCTTTAGGAGGCCAGATATTTATAAGGCTGCTACATTTACTGAGCCAAGCATTTAAAATTGTCCACCTCATTAAAAGTTTGTCTTTATTTTCTGTTTGTGCTGGCCTGATATTTACTTGAACATTATGAGCCATCAACCAGCTTCGCAGTGTTGGATTAAATTCATGACTTGTTGAGTCTGCATGTTTTATGTTAAAAATGTAACTCAGTGTTTAGTAGACATGAGTCTTTTTCTGTTTTCTTAGAGGAGCTGACATTTTCACTACAGCTACTAATTAAATGGTATTGGGCCACAGCCAAGTGTACACACTCACACACCCACACCCTGTAGTTAAGCTTTACGCATTCAACACCCTTGCTAAGGCATACATACACCTAACCTCACACCAGCTCTGTTTCATTTTCACACACACAGGCCTCAAGCACACTCTGACAAACATCGCTAACACTGTTTTGATCTCCCTCTTTGGGACAAAGACACACACACTCTTTCTAATGCAGGCGTCTCCAAGGACCCTGCCAAATCTCTCACACCTGGGGTTTTCCATCACTTAGTCCACTCAGCTTTATTACACACATTTAAAGCCAGCCATGAGTCAGATCCATCACACACATTATTGCACATGCACAAGTACATACATCTGGCTGAAAGGCTTTCTGTTAGAATGGAGGTTATTAGGCAGAAAGAAGGGAGAGGATGGATTATTGAAAAAAGAAGAAGAAATGGCAGTGCAGCATGAAAACATGAGCCGTGTCATGATGATGATTATGTGAATGTAAACAGCTTGCGGTTTGGAATTGTTCACAATAGCCTGTAGCAAAATACTAATACTACATGCATAGCACCAGAGATGAGTCTGTAAGTGTTTAATATCCACTTTTCCTGAGGAGGTTTTAGTAATTTCATAGATAAGAACTCAATCTGGTTCTGTTGAGAGGTCCTGTGCAACTCTTTTTGAAGAAAGCACTTCTCTTTGTCTAAAACAGGAAGTACATTTTACTTGCTATCATGTTGCACACTCTTCCATTATACATTTCTCTAACAATCTTTGCCATTCACAGTGTAGTTTTTGATTTGCAGTAACCCTACCTTGCATATTGCTTGTTCCCTCCCTTGATCATGTTGATTTTTTCTGTGAGGATGTAAAACGCCCTGGCAGTGACTTTTAGTCTTACAATTTGCTTTGTGGTCAAAGCTGCTATTATTGACTGTTGAGTGTCTGTGAGAAAAAGCATGTTACTTTCCATTTTGTTGAACTGCAAGAAGTGAGCGCTGCCATCATTTAGCATAGCAGCCTTGTCAGTCAGCTTGCATCTGCCCCAGAGATACACACATGTGCACACTCTCACCCTGTAAACGTGTTGTCTCGTGTAACCTTCCCTTTGGGTTTTAAGTGTTGAAGAGTTTCTTATCTACCTTCTTTCATAGCTTCTAGCTTTTTTTATACAGAGCTACATATATGTATATTAGCTTCATGCCACAAGGCTGGTCCTGGTTGCCAAGTAAGATATGTTGCTTATTATGTATCTTGAATGTTGTCTGTTTGAGTCTTATTCACAGCCTTGTTGTGTGGCATCCCCCAGTGTTATATCTAGCCACTGTCCAGTCCTTTTAATCAACTTGATGACATTCATTAGTGAGTATTCAGTGTCAGATGTTGGACAGGACAGGAGATTTTACATCTACTTTGTCTATATATCCTCCTCCTCCTCTTCTCTTGATTAAATGCTCCAGTCGATGTGCCATCCACACGTTCCACATACCCATGGAGGGAGCATAAAAGTGTGTGTGTACATAACATTCAGTGGTGTTTAAAGCCTTCTAAGAGAAATCCTATTTTGTATTTAATGTTAAATTTCTCTGCCACAGCAGAAAGATTATCTCAGTAATTACATTAATAGTTCTCCTGGAGTCTTTGGTCTCTCAGTCTTCCTCGATCTGCTGCTGATCAATGGAGCTGATCTGCTCCATTCTTCTGAACATTTCAGAAGTGTGAAACATCTCAGACCATGTGTGTGAAGGACACAGGATAAAAAGATTAGGAAAAAAAACTAACACATTCAAATGAGAAGAAGAGGAAGGATATTGAGAGAGGGACAGGAAGAGAGGTGGTGTGAGTTGAGTCAGGATGCCTGAGGGGAGGACAGCAGGAAGTAGTAGGTGAGGAGGAGGAGGAGGAGGAGGAGGACAGGAAACAGAGGAAGCGGGGAGAGACTCCACTTCATCCTCCTCCTCTGTCGTCATCAGCGGTTTCATTGAGGGAGGAGTGGCGTAGGGAGGGAGAGGTGGAGCTGACATCATCCACCTCCTGGAGGTCTGTGAGGGTGTATTACCAAACTCCATATCAAATCTTTTAACCTGTTCATGTCAACAAATGTTTTAATCTATTTAATTCAACAGCTGATAGAGAAGAAAAAATGCTGAGTTCGTGTAAATAAAACTGATTCTGCAAAGCAGAATGAACAGAGTTTAAGGCAAGGAAAGCTTAAGAAAAGAGAGATGTGATGAAAGAGAGCTCCTCTACATCTCTGGTTATGTAAGTATTCTGCAAAAGAGGGCATTGGGTTTGTTTGTGTGTGTGCCTGCTTGTTCTCATGTGAACTCTCTTTGTAAGCTTTGTGTGTTTATGTGTGCGTGTTATTGTGTGTTCGGGGTGACAGAGTTCGCAAAGAGGAAGATGCCCAACATGCCTCCTATACTCTGCTGCGGTTGTTTGGCCTTACCCAACGGTCACAGGCCTCTGTTGGTATGCTGTGCATTTGTGCTTACATGGTGTGTTTGTTGGCACGTCACCAGTGTGTGCATAGCGATGTTTTTACTATGTATATACTTGTACTTCTGTTACTGTGAAGTGTTGCATCATTGCTATGTGCACCTGTGTATGTGTCAAAGGCCCTCAAGGGCTTTTAGAGGCAGTTGGGGGGGAGGGGGGTGCAAGATTAGTCGAGGTGGTGGTTATTTATTTGCTTTTTATTACCTCCACCAATGAGGTTATGTTTTCACCCCTGTCTGTCTGTTGGTCGGTGGGTTTGTAAGCAAGATTACGCAAAAAATATGTATGAGAGCGTATTTACATGAAACTTGGTGGAAGGATGCGGTAGTCAGGGAAGAACACATTCAATTTTCCTGACTTTGTTTAACATTATGAGGTTGGGAATTTTCACTGTTACCCAGTGAGTATGAATGCAACTTTATGAAAACTGATATCTCTGAGTGTGTGAAATTTGGATCAGCTAGATTCATTTAAAGGGGAGTGTTGGGCTTTGGAGGACGTATGAACTCCATTGTTTTCATTTTGAAACAATCTCTGTCCATACGAGCATTTTGACTGCTGATCAGTTTGAATCCCCGTAACACGCCTGAAAAGTTTAACCATTTGCATACGCTCTGCATGAGCATGTTGTCTATTTGGTTGTAGCAAACTTGTCGCTGCCTAATTATTATATCAGTTTGTCTCCTGTGCATGGAAACAGTCGTATCATTTTTAAAATACAGAATTTACCTTCCCCAGATCGGCATTGCTTGTAATTGATTGGTCGCTGAGGCAGATGCCAATTATTTACCCTTTCTACATCCTAATATATCACTGCCAGAAAACCCAGAACAAACCTATAGGTGGAGATAGTTGCAGTAGAGTGTGAAGTAATACTGTTGCAAACAAGCAACAGCTCTTATCACATCTAGTCAGTTAATCGAAATACGTCAAAATGTTGATAGTGATTTGTAATTCAAGGGATCTAGTTTGTATTTTTAAGGCAAGATTTATTTAATCTAAGCTTATTGCTACCTTCAGTTGACATGTTTTGATGCAGGAGGAAAGTTTGAGAGCAGTTGTTGCTGCTGTGTAAGACACTGAGCCAATATGAACACACTCTGCCTCCATAAGAGATGTGGCTAAATGGCTTACAGAGGCTTTGGTAGATAGAAGATGTGCATCTCTGTCGAAGAAAAAATGTAAATCTCATCAAATCCTAACTTCTCCCAAGTCTCCCACAGCAAATCCCTTTTTTGAACAAATCCACTGCTAACCCCCCCTCCTTCAACATTGAGATGGGGGGGGTGTCTCTGCAGTTAAAAGCTGTCTTGTGTTGTGCTCTCCCACTTCCAGACCCTCCCTTCCCACCATCTCTCCCCTGCTCCTGTTCTGGCTTTCTGCCTCTCAGATTTCACCCCCAGCCCCCAGCCCTATACACCCCCGTGGCCCCCCTTTGACCCCCTGTTACCCGCCCATCCACCCCCTCAACCTCATTCTCCCCAGGGCAAGCCCACAGCGCCCAGCCCTTTGTGCCTTCCTTCCCCTCCCTCCTCCTCCACCTCTGCCTCCCCCTGCCTTTGTGTGCGAGGGGCCAGCTAAGGGAGAGAGAAGAGGGAGGCTGTGAGAGTGAGAGACAAGAGCTAGCAGAGAGGGATCTTATAGATCAGATGTGAAACTGGAGCTTGCAGCCTTTTTACATGCTCTTACATGACTGGAGGATTTGCACAACAAGTGAAAGCTGCTGTGT